TAAGATATATAGTTTTGTTTATAGTAATATAGCTGGAATATAACCATGTCAGTAATATGATTATGATGATTGTTAAACATTAAAATGATTGACATTTGTATCTGATCGTCAAACAAGTACTTGTCCATATTTGCTCTCGAACAGCATTAATTAAAACAAAATCAGCCATTTCGAATAATGTATATTATCTATAACATGATGTATAATGATTATATAAAATTTGAACATAATCAGACAAAGCATGTCAGAGATATGGCTCTAGAAGCCCAATTAAAACAAAATGGCCGCCAGTCAGCCATTTTGAGCCTGATCTGGAAAATAAAATGATGTGTATCAGGAACCTGTAATGTCTAATGTATTTACTAAGTTTGAACGAAATCCATCCATAAATGCCAAAAATATTGATATTTGATGATTTTTTTTTAGCACAAAAATGGCCACCATTCGGCAATTTTGTATAGGATTGTCAAACCAATACATCTGTATATCTATGACATGATATATAATGAATATTAAAAATTTTAACATAATCAGTCAAAGCAAGTCAGAGATATGGGTCTAGAAGCCCATTCATTAAAACAAAATGGCCACCAGTCAGCCATTTTGAATCCGATCTGAAAAATAAAATTGTTTGCATCAAGGTCCCATAATGTCTAATGTATATACTAAGTTTGAACAAAATTTATTTATAAACAGCCGAGAAATGCTTGATTTTGATGATTTTTTAGCACAAAAATGGCCACCATTCGGCCATCTTGAATCAGATCGTGAAACAAATTGATGTGCATATGTATAATATCATGTATGATGTATGTGTAAAGTTTGATTATGATTCGTCCAGGCAAGATACAGGTTCGGACACATGGACGGAAACACGGACGCACAAGGGTCAAAAGTCCTCGTTTTCGGGGACAAATTAATGGCAGGTTGTGTGAAACCAATATTTGTACACTACCCAAAAAATTCATCTCACTATTTTATTTTCAAAAACTAATTATTAATTGTATCTTAATAATTTACCACATTCCAAAAAAAAAAAAAAAATTGTATCCTATTAATTCGCTCACTTAAAATCCTGTGAAAAACCTCCAAATGAAAATTAAAAATTGCCATAAAACTTATTGTTTTAAGTTTGCATTTATCATGTTCATATTACCAATACCTTGTTTGGCCGTGATCATTGGTGATCACAACTAATAGTGCAGATATAGTGATATCAATGACATCAATAAAGAATGATAGCCACTATGCTGCTAGGTTGAAAAGTAAATTCAATTCACATAAACTCATTCCATATAATTGTGTGGACTATCATGGTGTGTGAATTGATGATTTTGATAGGCCATGCACTTGACCCCATGTCATAATTATCAAAATGAGCAGAGCTTTTCGAGAGTTCAACATTCTGTTTTCAGGGATGTCGAAGTTCAAGCCCTTTACGTCTTTAACTCCCTATAATTACCGGTATATGCACACAATCTGACTCTAGATTTGACTGGGATGGAATATTTTATTTTACTAGTAAACAATATTCTGACTTGACATACTGCCACATAAATGTAATTGAACAGAAGTACAGTATGACTATCTTCAAAGCATATCGATGTAATTTCTGGGTTTCCTTTTCTGGCTGTTGACTCAGCATGATGTGTTCACACGGTTTGTATTATTATTGCTGTTTTCCCCAAGGACATAGAGTGAGTGAAAGAAAACCCAATATTACACCTCTTCGGGCATTTGTTTATTTTGCATTTGTGTTGTATTACAGTATATTTGTAGATATATAAAAAAATCTTGCATTTCAATGAAAATTTATATTGTTTGAAAACCCATAAACCATTTCCCTGTAAGAAAATAATTTAAAAGTAAACCAGAATAGTGACAATGATAGATCATGAAGTATTTACGACAAAAACTAAATTTGACACTTTATATTTTCTAAAGCCCAGTCAATTATTTATACGTGATATGTTTGGGTAAACTGTGACAAAAATATTAATGAATAGTTTAATATAGTTTATTTTTGAAAACAACAAATACTTACTGTAAAGACAAAACTTGGTCTTCCATCAACGAGATGAGTGGTGATACTACTAGAGTAGTGCCACCAGTGAAGACTGACGGAAATTGGTAGCATAAACTTTTACCATATCCAGTAGCCATTATTACACAATTGTCTCTCCGATCCTTTAAAACCGAACTTACTATTTTCCACTGCATTCTAAGGAAGTCAATATTTACAAAACCAGTACGTTAAAAAACTGCACAAAATTAAAAACTTTATTATTTTATATTGCAATAAATCGAGTATTTAAACATTCTGTTTTTTGCAATGAAAGATTTTTAATTTAACAGTGCATTTTATTGGTGAACATGTCATGTCAATAAAATAGACTCCATTAATTATAAACAATGAATGATCTATATAGATAATCTCTGAATGTTGGTGAAGTATTCAGCATACATGAATTAAAAATAACACTATTACAACAAACGGCACCTTATCCAGGTTTTCTCAGTCAAAGTGATATCCCTATGAATAAGATAATTCATAAATGTACAGTCCACACATAAACTAGTCATCTGATGTTTTGACTAGTCATGCCAAGTTTGATTTAAATCAGCACGGACATGTCTTAAAAAACAATGGATGACAAATATTTTTTTGGGACAATCTTAAAAGACAAACACTTACGGACGGAATTTGGAATGTCCAAAATAGGTTTTCAAAGCATCCACAAATACAGGATCAATTGGAGGGGCTGTTGGATCTGAAAAAAAAAAAAA